GGAACTTATTAACACAAGAATGAGCACCATCAGTGTGTATAGAGTAACTGAGCTCAGAACAGCAGAGGAAAGAGCCCAGCTGGCTGATCAGCAAGGACAGACATGGAAAGCCAGCCAGCCATCATCCTTCCTCTGGGGAGGGAGGCTGGACCAAAGAAAGCCTTTGGGAAGGGTTTGCCAGTACAGAAAGTTAGAAGCCCAAACTGAAGCCACAGCCTGAAACATGCACACATACACACAGAGGAGCATGGAGCCACAGACATTCTTTAGGCCAAAGAAATCTTTATTTTCTCAGTTTGTCTGGGCTGGTAGAAAACCTTATAAATGGAAGATAATGTATTTTTTGATAACTAGGCTATCATGTGAATTATCTTCCCTGAAGAGGACAGGAAACAAACTTATTTGTTCATGTAGCCACACACAAATTTTCTGCTTGTTATTTAAACAACCAAGGAGGCTGGTAACAGGTCTAGGTTGTACCCACAAGATGCTTCTTCTCCAGAGACAGCAAGCGTGGGTACAAAACTCTCTCCAGGTTTCTCAACCTCCACGTGCTGCTTTTGCACAAAACAAGTCACTCTAACCAATCTCACTGTGCATTCTGCTTAGGCTACTTGCAAACAAGCCAAAGAACTTCAACTGTGATGCAAGCACTTGTTAATTTACAAATGGCTACAAAAGCTGTTGAAAGCAGCATGAGCAGCTTTGCAGTGACTACATCTCCTTTTCATTTCATTACTTCTGCTATAAACAAAGAATATCCAGAGAGCTGCACAAGGTTACTGTCCTCCTGTCAGTCAAGGGAACAGAACTGCAGTTAACTGCAAGGTTCTGAAATAAATAGGTTTTGACTGCTGAGGTAGCTTTTAACTACAAGACCTGTTCAGCCATGGGCTTCTGACAGCTTTTTCCTTCCCTCTTTTTTTAAGCTCAAATTTAATCCAATCATTAAAATATTTGTTGAAGCGCTCTGTCTGCTTGGCAGCATAGCCCACACCACAGACAGAGTGATGGGTGACTTATTTCAGCAGGAATTTTTTTTGCATTCCTCCTGGTTTTATTTTGAATTGTTTGTGCAAAGATTTGGTAGGTGGAGCTTTTCAATCAATTGCAGCAGACCTGGCACAGGGTGGCACTCATGCTGTTCACTCAAAAATGTTAAAGATAAATATCATGAACAAACAGGAGTTTTCAACCTTTTAAAGGTTGCATCATTATTCCAAATTATGTTTTCAGTGATGAAATTAAATTCTAAACTAATTCTATTCTCATTTTATTTATAGATTTTTAAAATAGTTTCTGAAAAATACATTAGAAGCATTGATCTCAGTGTGAATTTGACTACACTGATTCTTAACATGGGTATTTCTAAATTTTCAGGAAACCCCTACATTGTTCTCTTTATGCTGAAGTATATCAGAAGCACTGACATGGGAAGAAGCAAGAGAACTCCAGTAAGAAATGCTATGCTGCACCATTCCTTTCAAACCGAAGCAGAATGCACGGCAGCAGCAGCTGTGGCAGCAGCAAACCTTAGAGAGAAGAGAATAACAGTCACAGCAAGACTTTCTGCTGGATCTGTTTGAGAAAACAGTTCAATTCTCAAGTACACAGATGCACCCTCACATCAGGGAATTAATCTAGAAACAAATCCCAGCTGAGAATATGTGCTGCCAGCACCTGATTCTGTGCCTGGATTCAACATCCTTCAGTATTAAGTCTGAAAAAGCACTAGAATGGTCAGTATCTTCCTTTTTTTTTTTTTTCACAGTTGATCACCTAAAGGTACTTGCACATGAACCTACATATAAACTCTGAAAGTCTATTTTGAGATCACAGAAAGTCTTTAAAAGGAAATTCCCACACATTCTGACTGTTTGTAAAGAGGATGGGTATTTTAACCCTGTGACCTCCCCAGGAACACCTTTAATAGCTGTGGAATAGATGGGAGTCTTCATTTAGTATTACTGTATCATCTCTGATGCTGGTTTGTGGAGGAATTCATGAGCTCCTGAACACAGAAATCTAACTATTGTCACAGTGCTCACACAGTGCAGTGCTAGCAAAGGACTGGCTGCATTTAGATGACAGTATCAGCATCCCTAGAGTATCACAGAGTCTCAGGTTTGTTATTTCTCTGAAGGCATTAGTTCCTACAAACCTGAAATAATGCAAGAAGTCAGGACTGTGTGGACAAGGCAGTGGTGGGGAATGGACAGGGAGTCTACAGGTGTCACTTCTAAGTAAAATTTCAAAAATGCAATTTCAGTTACATGCCCTTGAGTATCAAAAGGCTTGAAACACTCAGAAATATTTCAAGGTTTATTAAAACTATTTTAAAACTCTAGATTACCTTTGTTCAAAGGTTCCTGATGATCCCTGCCATGGTAGAGCTTGCTCTTTTCTTTCTTCCCAAACTGTATTCACTTGGCAGAATGTGAGAAATGACAGGCTTGCGGTATGTGCTTGCTCTCGAGCACAGGCAGCTAAGGTGACATTCCTGGCCACTCATGCTGCCATGCAATGGAGGAATCTCATGCACAGGTGAAAAACTGCTGAGCAAAGTACCTCTGAGTAAGTTGCAGTGAAACTGAAATGTATTCATGCATGTTTTGGAACAGCTGGCTTTGTGCACTGCAGTGAGAGCAACCCTGTCAAGCTGAAGGAAGCAAAAAGGCTGATTAGATTTTATAGCTTTGGTCAACAACACCAGGATCCTTTTCCTTGTGGCTCCTCTCAACAAGGACATTGCCCACTTCAAAAAATAAAGGAATACTTTTCCTCTATTAGGGCTATCAAAAATAGGAAATGCACACTTGTAAAAACATGCTGTGAATACTCAGAAGCATGTGGCTGCTGTATTTCACATCAAGAATCAGAGAAGATGTCACCAGGGTCTGTAACAGCCCCTCCCTTCCCCACACAGTTACTGCTACCTTATGTTTTTTTAATACCGATTTTAAAGTGACAATGTTCTTCTAGTATTTATTGTAATATTTTCATCACAAACAATAACAAGAGTATTTTCTCCACTACCTCTACTGTTACATGTCAGACAAAGGTGCCATGCTGTCTTGAGGAAGAATGGGGCTTTCAGGCCTTTTTTTTTTTCACTCGCTGTTAAGCAGAAGCATCAATACTGAGAAATGCCCTGCAGGCTGCACTAGGACTGCTACTATTTAATAACCATTACATTAAATTGTTCTACAATTTAAAAATTGGCAGTATGTTTTAGTTCCATAAAACCAACAAAAAATCCCTCAGCAAGGTATATCACACTGTCTCCTCAGTCCTACAGCCAGGCAGGACTAGCTCACCCTATAGACACAGCCATGAGTTAAGAGCAGCCTGAGATTATCTCCAGACCTTCATAAGGCTCAGAATGGCTAAGTAGGGCATAATTCAAATGCTCTATGCTTAAACAGACTGTCACATGGCCATCAAAGGTGTTTTCTGGCACTGAGAAGGAAATTTAATTTGAGATGTATAGTACCAGCGATGTATTTTTGAAAATATTTTAGCGCAATGATTTGGACTTACAGGAGCAGAATCTGAACTTGCAAACAAAGTTTAAGAATCTCTGTAGAAAAATACATTCTAAGAGCAACTAAAAAAAAAGGTGGATATATTTTTAGTACAGAGAAATTTAACATACCAAATAATGACAGTGTTTCTGGGAAGGACTGTACCCACACTACAGGAAAGGACATTTTATTAAGAAAGAAAGTGCTTAGTTCTATAACTTCTCAGAGAAGCATGTGAGAAAGTTACACATGCAGACTTCAACAAGGGGAGAGACTGAAAATGGTGCAACTTCTACCAGTAGAACTAGAAGCAAGTTTTAATGCAGGTCAGTCAGCTCTAAGCATTCTGAAAGTCTACACCTGACCTCTTATATTCTTTTGGAAACAGGTGGCTATTTAAAACACAGGGCAAACAAATCAGAAGCAAAAGAAATACCTCTTCAAATGGCTCAATAACTGCTACTGAACTTCACAGCATGGAGGTGGGCAGAGTCCCCTGCTGCTGGCATCTCCCACCTTCCAGCAGCAGGATGGATGACTGTTCACTTGGTCCTAGTTCTCTGTGCTTCCAGCTGCTAGGCTATATTAGAAGAAGAGAAAAAAATGCAGCAAATCTTTCCTAATATATATTATTTACATAGACAGCTTCTATTGTATTCTAGAAGTGTTTGCAGTCAGACAGAAAAGGTGAAGAGATTTAGCCAGTCACATATGAGAATGGAAACAGTTTATCAGTGCATATGACTGATATGATGCACATATCAGTCCTGTTTGACTGATATGTGCAAATGACATCTAGAAACTCTCATTACTACAGAAATAAAGAAAAGTCAGATTTCACAGCCAACAACCCACTCACACTAACATAAAGAACTGATAAAGTTCCATGGTTTTCACACAGGCCAACTAATCACCTCAAATGCTAGGTCAGAACATCTCCTCCAGTCCTCCAAAACTAACCTCAAACTGTCTGAACACTTTTACAAAGCCACCAATTTCATCTCCTAATGAACACCAGTGAATGGGGAGAACCAGACACCCATCAGTGATCTCACATGGCATGGAACACCTCTCCTCAGAGGCCTTCCTCCATTTCTGGTGGTTTGTAGCTCAAAGCTGAACCAGGTGAGCTTGTCATGGACAGAGCTTCTCAGAGTCCAGCCCTACCAGTATTTTTGTGTCAGCTGGATAATGTGACTGAATAGATTTTCCTTGAGTTTGCAGATGACAGCAAAGAGGCAGAAGAGAGAGGCAGAGGGGACAGATGAGCCACTCTTCAGAGACTGGACAGCCAGGCCAACAAGAATTGCAGGAGCCTTAGCAGAGATGAAGCACTACACTCAAAATGCAACAACGCCAAGCAGCAGCACAGGCTGCTCCACTGCAGTTCTAGAATTAGTACACTTTAATTAGTAATATATCAGTGTAAGGTAAAACGCACAGAGACAGATGAACAAACAGACCATATATTTCTACCTCAAGAAACTGCATTGGGAAAGCAAATTCCAAACAAGTCTGGCAAGAAGTTTTATACTTACAAACTGAAACTTGCCTTGAATCCCCCAGACAGAGTCAGTTATCTGGGAAAAATGACTCACAGCTAAAGTATTCCTATTATGAGGAGTCTAAGGGCATTTAGGATTTTGAATCAGAACTATTTGTAAACTGCAAACACAAGTTCAACTAATCAATAGCTTAATACTACAGATGAAACAAGCAGTGGTCCAAAAAAAGAATAAACTGAATAACTGAATAAATACATCTAACAGTTGGGAAAAAGCCACATCAGAAAACGCTTTGTATTTCACAAAGAAGTTTTTAATATACATTCATTACTGAAGCCTGATTTTAAAAAAATCCCTACCTTCAGGATTTTTTTTAGCAGGTACACTCCAGTAAACATGTTTTTTTTTCACCCTCATGACATTAAAACATGTCTCATCAAGTCCCAGTGAGCAGAAGAATGCTTGATCAGATGTGTGTACTTGGTAACTTCCTCAGTCCAAACACAAGACTTGGAAGAACACCTTTAAGACCTCTGCTTTTTGTGACAGCAGTTTAAACATGCAAAAATGCAGCTCTCCTGTTATTATTTTACTTTTTCAGCTGTACTTTTAAGTTTTCTAATGCAAATTTATGGCCCTTACTATTCAAATAAACACAGCTTTTGTCCTTCATTTGTTACACCATTCTAAAAAGAAAAATGTATTTTTCTAAGTTCTTTAAAAGCCAGTAGACACCATGTGTCAAAAAAGCTCAATAATTAAATCCAAGTTGTTCCTCCTATACACAATGCACAAAGTAAAACATATCTTTAAAATATGTGAGAACAAAAATCTGTAGTGAATCTGGAAGAATTGGGAAAGCTGAAAAGCTATTTTTCTCATTACATAGTATTAGAAGTTGTTGTCAACTACTGCTTCACTCTTAAAGATGCAGCTTCTCTACAAGTCACCAGAACAACAGAAGATACTCTGTTCCCCATAACCAGCCAAGTGGCTGCATCCACATCCTTTTTTTCTCTGAGATTTTCATGTGAAACATGTCCCCTGAGGTACCAAAGGGTTAAAGGTTTAGAGAATGCTTCAGCTATTGGAGCCATTTCCCCTGCCAGCTTGTTCTGGCTCCTCGGAAGCTGCAAGAAACCTCAGATTTTTTGCATCCTCTTGTTCTTCTCCAGGCTTATTCCTACTTCAGTTGCATTTTGTTGAATTTAGTTTTCCACTTTTTCTTCACTTTTCTTTGCTTGCAGAAATTCTTCCTCAGCTTCTTTGGAGCCACACCTTCATTTCTAGCAGGCTTAGCTGGATTGCCTTTGGTTTCCATAGCTACTGGCCTTCCCTCATGGGGTGTGTCCCACTGTCCTTTCACCCCAGCCATCTACACACACAAGGGGAGAGAATTGATAAAAAAAAAAAACAACTCAGAAAAGCAAACTGGAATTACCAGAATTAATCATCTTCAATCTGTATTAAGCACAAATATGTACAACTACATTCAGACAACTGCTTTCTAATTAATGTAGTTTCAAACTGACCTACAGGGTACAGCTGGTCTTCAGTCACCAGTGAGAAGTGACCAATCCTGCCTCCTCCCTGCCTACGTGCCTGGATTTCCTTCTGGCAGAAACCAAAGTGCACAAGGAAATTAGGAATGGATGCACAACAATTTTGCCCTCATGTGAAGGCAGGCTGTGGCTAAACATCTAACTCAACCTACAAACCATCTCACAGTGCACAAAGCTGGGCACAGTCAGTACATGGCTTTTACACAAATGAGTAAGTCTCTGCTGAAGAAAAACAATGCTTGGAAATTTTCTTACTTTTAAAGGGCCATACTATCTCAAAAATAATAGAGGTGAGAGCAGGATCTTTGAGAAATTTCTAAAGCATGATAGGCATCACTTATTCACCAACATAAATTACAAAGCAGGATGGATTCCCAAAAGATTTCTGACCCCCAAAGATGACAGATAAACTATACCAGCTGTACCCCAAGGGACTGAAAGGGTTATTCCTAAACTGATCAGCTGATCCGCTTTGCCATCAAATGAGATACTGACCTTCTGTTTCCACCCTTCCCAGGGTGCAGGTGGAAAGGTGCATGGAACTCTTCCATGAACTATGTGGTAGGGCAAAGGGAGGCTGGGGTCCAGGGGAACCCATGGCACTGAGAGAGTGGCAGGTACGGCAGGCAGATCACAGTGAGCTTTGTGCAAGTTATAGGATGATCTTGTGCTCTTGTCAAGAGAACTCTTGTAAATTGCAACTGATGAATCTCCTGCAGCGTGAGTCAATAAATAAGAGCCCTCCTCCAAACTAAAATGAGAAAAGTTACAAAGGAAAAATATTATTTAAATGTTTTTTGGAGTTTTTTTTTATTTGATCAGAATAGTTAATATGTTCTTAATGCAAAAGCAGAACATCTTTAGGTGTTTAGTCCCTTTAAATGTTTTATAAAAAAGACTGTGCACAAGAAAGCATTAATGAAACTGTATTGATAAATATCTATTAACTAATGTGTTTATAATGTATTCATAATGTGCTAATTTATCAACAATGTAGAGACTGTCATTATATTCATCTAAGCATGTAGGCATACACTGAAAACCATCCACGTTGGGCAAACTGTAATCCCTTAACCAGCATCTTACAAAGAACAAAGCCCATGTGGACACAGACACAAAGAACAGATGAGCTTTCACACCCACAGGATTAAACAGGTTTTCAGGAAGATGAAGATCAACCAACAGCCCATACCAAAAATCTTAGTCAAAAATCATGAACCTAAAAGAGCAGGAAAACCCCTCTGTAATTTGAATGAAAAGGCTTCACGCTCAGTGCAAGAAGCATGCTTCACCAAAAAAATTAGGACACTAGCAGGCTGAAAGCTTTGAAGTAGCTAAGTAAAGAAGGAGAAAGGCTGCAATGTTGTACAGAGAGAGGCTGCTCTAAGTCAAGGTAAGCAGAAGGGAACACAGGGTTAATTCTACAAATCAAGCAGAAAGACTGCCAAAACCCAAACTCTGTGTGTCAGCCCACATACATGATATTACACCTCACTCCTGTGAACTGTTTACTCAGCTCTTAAGAGTCCAGTTTGCTCTCTTGAAAAACTGGTTCACAAACCTCAAGTTCTTATTCTTTTGCATAATTTATGCAAACCTTGTAGTCCCAAGCACATTTTACACAGTACTGCATTATGCTATGACAGACCTAAGAGAACCTGTAAAATACCAATTTCTTTATGTATATGAAGAAATAAAAATCAGAGCAGACAAACATTCTACAGAAGAAACAGGATGAGCTGGGCAATGTGGCAAACAAATACAATGAACAAAAATTGAGAACTTACTCTGACACCTTCTTCAAAACATGATGAAGTATATTTAACGAATTTGCAGGTCTGTGAAAGAAAAACACAGCAAAAGTAGTAACTTGCAAGGCTTGTTAGGGTTTGAAATTCATTGCTAAAAAAACGTACTAAAAATACTCACTTAATCAATCCAAGTTTTTCTCTTAAAGTTGCTGGAGAAATCTTTTCTAGCATAATAAGCTTTGATGTAAAAGCATCAATATGTCCTGAAAAACAAAATTCAATTAATACACTAAAAATAAAACCAAACAAATGTAAGAGCATAATTTGCAGACCTCTTTAGAAGGATAAAATATTTGCTCTTTTGGCATCGAACAGTGAGAAGTATTTATCAATGTTGCACCATAACAGAGAGTTAAAATGTGCAGCTGCTTTAAGTACAGGCATCTGTACCTTGACTGCCTTTCCAAACCAAGAGATGCCTGACTCCAGCAAAGCTCACATCTTGGGTGGTGTGTGGGATACACAACCTTATCTTGCCACGGCCTTAATCTCATCAGTTAGTTTATATCTGCTCAAGTTCATTTGACCCTTATCACTTAGCTTCCTCACTGGACAGATCCCAAAAGCTGATGTTTAACAACAAATTTACTTTTGCATTTAATATACTTGCTTTTCTATTCTGACCTATTGCATGACTTTCTAGGGATGCTGACCTTTGTGTCTTGATTCTTCCCCCCTTCCTCGCCTGAGGAACTACAATTCACAACTCAGGCAAGTTGTCTTTAACAACTTTGTCTTTGACACCATGAGAAGCAACAATTCAAAGCTCTCCTCATCGCATTTTTAAAAGAAAGGCTGCCAAGGACAGCTTCGCCCACATTTCATTTGATGAGCAATAAGGATCACCAGCATAGCTTGGACATGGATTTGACTGCTGTACCTTGCCTTCTGGTTCTTTCTCATGCTGAAGTCTTCCCAGGAATCTATTCTATTTCAGCTCCCAGAAGGAGGATGAGGAAAAGGCAGCATAATAAAATACAGCCTACTCAGTGGAATTTACTGTCTTACTATAAATCTGCTCTCTTAGGAAGTGTAAATGCTTCAATTGCACAGTTAAAACTGCTAAATCAAAGCATTTCACATTCCAAGCTATCCATCACTAAGTTTATGTGTTGTGTAAGAAGACTAAGTAATAACTCTCACTTCAACAAATTAAAAAAGATGCATCAGGACAACTGATTTCTTTTAAACATTGTACATTTGTTACTTTTCTTGATATCAGTATTTTGTGCAAGACTAAGCAGCAAAATGTCGTATTTTACATTGCTGACTACAAAAAGAGGCTTGAAGTCATTATTAAAAATATAACTAAAAAAAAACCTGTTTGAGTTCTGTATTCCTCACCAGCCTCTCCTCAAATCAGACTTCTCTACTTCTAAACACACTGGGAAACATAAAACACACTTCTAAATGTAACTGGGAAAAACCCAGTAATTACAAAATATCTATGAACTACTTCCACCTAGTTTATATAACTGTATCTTATACTCAAGAAGTGACAGATTGAAAATACTTGACATGTAATAAGTTACCCAAGACCAGGTATTTTTTTTCCAACCCATTCTTCAAATGATGTTAATTTAAAGGCCAATATTATTCCATTCATGTGAAGGTAAACCGTTCTTGCAAAAAGTTTTGCTTAGGCACTTAATGCAAATAAGTGAGTAATAGCCAGGATAAAATGCTCCTATTAATCAGTAAAGCTTATCACAAGTTTATTTACTGCTTAGACAAGTACAAGTGCCTTATTTGGGAAGCTTGTCACAGAGATTACTGCCTTTGCAGATACAGGATTTCCTATCTGAGCAGCAAGAGGACTTCACAACCAAGCCAGGTGCTTTGCTAGCAAGAGGAAGACAGTGCTCTTTGTTTGATGATAGTATCTCTGCTTTTTGAGAACATCCTAAAAAAAAAATCACCTCAGCTTCATTTCCCCCCTGCAGCTGCTGCAGGAGGCCATGGTTACACATCTGATTTCTGACTCACACCCTGAGTCACAGCAGAGCTGAGATCCTCCCTCAGTCACACACAACAATGCTGGACAATTATGAGCCATAGACCAAGGTCCAAACAACTTTTCATTCATACTTACTTAGCAATATAAGAGATGGTTGAGACAGCAAATTAAGCTTTTTCAAGAGTCAAAAACACCTATGCAGTTTAACACTGAGGTCTGCTACATACTTGAAATTTAAAAGTTAAAGTCTGAACTGTCTGATCAAGAGTGCAAGTTGTAGGTACTGTGTTAGTAAGATGATACTTTTCAAACCATGTTGTTCCATACTTCCACACTCATACTGCAAGGTAAATTTAAAAAGAGCAGTAACTTTATGGCTTTAAAAAATGTTTGATTTAAAAATTCTTTTATTACAGAACATAGCATTTCACTTAAAATAATTCATATCATAGCATGATTTCAGAAGCTCTCTGCCTTTCTCCTTACACTGAACAGATCACTGCAGAAGTCTTACTATCAGGTATTAGTGACAGGGAATGAGAGATTCACTCCATTTTAAGTTGCCCATTATACAAGGGTATCATCACCCTCAGAGAACTGTCCCTGGAGTTTCAGGACAAAGGTCTCTGCTGCAAAGAGCCCTCTGAGTAAATCTGAGTGTAACACTGCATTTTTCACAGCTCCCTTAGGAATACAAACTGGAAGGCAGAATTTCACAGCTACCTTGCAATATACCAAGAGCAGAAGACACCCCAAGTAGAATATGATAACAGCTTCCTATTAAAAACTGTGGTAGATGCTCTTTCTTAGAATGGATATTTACTTCCACATATTTTTTTACCTACTCTGTAAGAAACTACATGGCAATAGCAAGGATCTGCCCCACAGGCTGGGAGTACCCATTTACTGTGCAGGACAGTGACAACCCACAGAATCCTGTGCCTCTTCAGAGCCCACAAAAGAGAACTCCTATGTGCCCCAGGGCCTGCTTCTGGAAAGAGTGGATCCAGGAGCTGACAAACAAACATGACTGGAATAACCAGTGCTTCTCAATCCCAAGGATACTGTATCCCAAGCACTGGAACAGAGATGTGCTGGAGGCCAGGCCAGTGAAGCCCTCCAGCCCAGGGCACTGCCCATTCCACAGCCAGCAGGGACCTACAGGAGATACACAGAGGAAAGCTGTGCTGGAAGGGGAGGGCTCTGTGGCTCTTCATCTGCAACACCACCTGCATACCCAGCCTGCTGTCTCCTACATATCCAGCCTGCTGTCTCCTACATTCCCAAGAACCTCCATAAAAAGGGGTGGTGGCTGGATGAGCTGTCTGCAAAGTCCTGTGCAAGCCATACCTTCAGCATCCTGTAAATGGAGATTAGATAGACACTCACTCCTCCACTTTGTGTACTTTGCAAACATCAGCCCTCTCTCCACAGTTCACTGTTTCCTCACACTGCTTGCCATGCTGGAAATGTTAATAAAAACTTTGACACAATTTCCTACAGGAAGGCCAAGTGCAGTGCAGCTCAGCATGCTGGACATACCCTCAGTGTAAATACTCAGAATGCACTCAGTGTAGTGCTCTGCTTGCTAGAGAGAAGCAAGGCCTCTGTCCTGTACATTAAGATACAGTTACAAACAGGATACATAATTAGCTCTTTGTAAGGATTTCTTTTCTAATGGAATGGAAAAACCACATCAAACACTGCTTTTAAAGTTTAAAATTAGAAACATAATTTCCATTGAATAAAGAGAGCAGACCAAGATGCAATTGGCAAATACATTAGATTTCAATTATAATCCTAATAATTCTATGGTAGCTTGCATAGTTTGTATGTAGAAACTGGAAAACAGAGAAGTTAGCATTTCTAAAATAGCATTCTGATGTGAGCCAACAACAGCAGAAGTGTAATTCAGTGCACAAGTGGAAAGGTTAGGCAACCACAGGCCACAACTGCTGCCATAACAACCCGAAAACCCAGATTTGTTTCTACAAAAAAAGCAAGGCAATCCCCACTGCAGAACATTCACTCACTGTACAAACAGGATTGCCCTCACTCAGTAGCATGTGCCAAGCATATTGTAAATATCAACTAACCACTTTGCTGCAAATTTTTCTTTTTAAAACTTATTAATTACAAGATAATTGGTATCAGAAAGCTCTCCATATATTAAAATGGTTGCTAAATTGGTCACATTGTTTGTATGTATAATTTTAATTTCCTTACACAACAAATATCTCAACAGACATAAAAACGTCCCTGACTTTTTAAAATGTCATTGCACAAACATGAATACAGCATTTTCTACAGGACATGGATACTATTTATCTAAAACCAAAGCTGGAACTTCCTCATCCAACACCCAACAGAACTTTTAGACGAAAAGCTTACTGAAGATAGATGTGAAAAAACAAAATTAAAAAGTTAAAGAAAGGATATATGGAATACACCTTTAATAAGTCTGTATCTCTCCTGTTATTCTACAAATATTCACACACACATGTGTCTTAAGCAAAAACTCAACACATGAACTTACCAATATAAAAGAAGCATTTGGAATGCAGCATACTCTGTGTCCACAGCTGGCACACTTCACTTTCTGTAAGAGCTTCCACACCGTAGTAGGCTTGGTACCCGAGTTTTGGCAACAGGAATATGGGAATTGGCTGAAAAAGAGAAGATAAGAGAAAAATTAGCACTCAATGTCCAAAAATATCCACAATTTAACTGCATTTTGTAGTTTATAACAACCACAGTCCTTCACCATAGCTGAAGCAACAAAGACATTTCAGAGATTTTGTTTGAAGGTTCGCGATTTATGAAATCCACAGCACAAACTTCTGAGTACAGAGACTTTATACAGAGAAAGGTGAAATTCACAGGAAAAAACAAAACAAAAAAGAACCAGAAAAAAAAAAGGCCTGGGCAAACTCTTACAAATAATACAATTCTGACACTTAGTCATTTTTCCATGTGACTAAATTAATTTCAAGTTTACACTTCTGTGCTCTACTGCCCTCTGCAGCAATTTAAGAAAAAACACACAACATTTCTAATTAGCCTATTATTAGCAGAATTCTGCCATTTATCATTCCTGTCAGAATCTCACTTGAAATTAGAACCTAAGGCTTGGAGTCTCATTTGAAATCAGAGGCTACCCTAACTAGTGAGTTAACCCTAATGAGCACTGTCAGTACTCACTGACAATCCATACTTAAATGTCATCAGAAATTTTAAAAAATAAACAAGTGATTGGTTCCTAAATGATGAAGCAGTTATTCCCAGACATTATAAGCAGTCAATCAACAGCAAAAAGATGGGATTTCTTCAAAATAAGATTTTAAGCACAGACTCTTGGCAAGTAATCAGTGTTAAAATGATTATTTCCATTTCAATGAAGCACAAACACCTCACAAAACAGCTGCCTGCTGTAATTCTGGGATTCTCAGGAGGAACACACCACAACAAATTTGCTGAATGATTCACAGGACTCTTAAAAAATAACAAATTACTGAGAATTATGGAATAAAGTTTCCTTCTCTTCATGCTGCAAGGAGTATTTTGATTACAGTTGCATTCAAGCCATTTAACTCCATGAGATAAACTATCTGCTAAGAAATGCCACAGTATTTTCAAGTAGAAAAAATAGAATGTCTTTTGGTGTTCTCTGTTATCCCTTTTATCTCTATTTCCCTGCTTAACTAGGCATGATAGCAAGGCTGAATCCTACTTGAAAGTATTTATGGTCACGAACATTCTCAAAGCCTTAGGCCAAACCCCTAATTACTCCATTAACTTTTAAGAATAGTTCAAAATTACATTTTTTTACATAAGTATCATTACCCAGGCATATTACTGTAGTAAAAAATGGACAACCACACATCCTTATCTTCTAATCAAGTAGCTTTAAAGAAATCACAAGTTATTCTTCCCTGTCTTGCTACAGCAAATATTTACAGAAGACACGCTGCAGAGTCACAATTGTCTCAGTGAAAGCATAAATGCTATCCAGGACTGGGAATCCCAGAAATGCCAACATTTCAGAATTGAGCACAACTGTTTAAAAAAAACCAAACCAAAAAAAAAAGCTGAAAATAAAATCTTTACCTTTTGGGCTTTTTTCTTTTTCTGGTATTGTGGCAGTGACTTGACTTTCTGCACACTGCAACGCACGAGTAACAACAGATCATTCAAACTGAAGAGCTTGTACACAACATTGCCTTCCTCAGGTGCTTGGTACTCTGAAGGGTCTTCTTCAAGCAGCTGAAGTTCACTTGGCAGCTTTGCTGGAGAAAATGAATTGACCAGAAAATGTCAAGCTTGAACATTTTTTACAATGAAGCTGATTACCTTTGTTCTCTTGCAGTAGAGTTTTTTGTTCAGGTGTTTTTTTTTTTCAACTCTAGGATCTGTTTTGTTTCCTATGAATTAGGGATAAAAACTACTTTGTTAAGCACAAAAGTCACATACTAACAAAAAAAATTACATTTGGGAAACATTCACTCTTTAAGAGTATATTTTTAAATAATCCCACATCATTAGATTTCTCACACAAATAGAGAGAACTCCAAATGTGAGACTCCATTCTTGTATAAATGTAGCTCAAAATCTTCTTTCTAAGCCACAGTCACTCAGCACAAAGGAGAGAAAAATTTTCTTTACAATGAATGGCTCCTGAGAGCTGCCATCCATCCATCAGGCACTGAAGTAACTCAGGTCTCAGGTCTGGGTGGCAGCACAACTCTCCCACCACATGGAGCTCAATCAGGACACAGCCACATTCAAGAGGGGCTACTGCATCTCCCAGGGCAGCTTTGAGTACATTAACAAACATCCCTCCAAACCTTAGAAACATTTTAACCAAATGTTTCAAATAAACACAATAGCCTCCAAATTGGTTTGCTGAAAATGTATCTAATTCTTTCTTTTTTTGCCCTGAAGATATGTGGAAATATGTCTCAAAACCATACCTACAAATAGGGATTCCTGTAGTGCTATGAACAAATACATTTTTATCATTAAATTTAAAGTTTATGTGCATGCACACTGTGGGAGATATCCAAGGAACTGGAAGTAATTTTCTGTTAGTAAAATATAAAACTCAAATCTGGGTTTGTGCAAAATAGACATGCAAAGAGATTTCTCAGCTTGCTACAGAACTTTCAAATTGTAGAATTATGCTTTCTATTCCTACACAGTCACTTTTCAGCACATTGTGAAACCAATATTGCCAATCTCTATAAAAAAATCTATTATAGAACATCTGAATTCTATACTCCATCTTTTTAACACAGAGAGAAATAAAATGTCATGCCTTACCCTTTCAAACTGAGGAAGGAGACATGGTCTTAGTGATTATGCAGTTAAAGCAATAAAAATGTAGGAAGTGATAAGACAGTTTCAAGTAAAACAGAATTGTGTTACCCTATAGATTAAGTAATTAATTCCTACATGATCAAATGCACACCTCCTCAGAAAATACCAAACATCTTTTCCCACCAAAAACACAGATTTGTTGGAATTAAATATTTGAGAAGAGTATCTGTCCTGACACAACCTATCTGGTTTTCTGCATATTTATCTAACACAATGAAGTGTTTCTAACTTCAGCTGTACAGAGTTCAGAAGCAACTCAAGCATGTGAGGAAAACCTCCAGGGCCATGGTCCCCAGGATCTTCACAACTTGTAATTCTGGGCTAAGGTCCAGGGGCAGCACAGATTCCATACCCAGCTAATGGTCTGAAAACTTGGAGAGGTGGCTTATAGTGAATCCTCATTTGCCTTCTGGGACAGAGTGCTGGGAGTTAAGCAACAGCAACTGAACCAGGAGGCTCAAAACTTAAGACATACAAATTTAATTTTCCCCCTGTTTTTAATTGTATAATTTAATTTTTATTCTACAAAAAATTAAAGTAATTCTACTTCTGTTGACAAGAAACTACTTTTGCAGACTAGACTACTCAAATATTTGAATTTCCATGCAAAAAGAACTCATTCCACTACCAAATGATGTCTCTTCTTAAAAATCTTGTGTATAACAACTTATTTCTCTACAGTAAAACAGTATTTCACATTCACCTCTGTGGACAAACAGTGCTCCCTTCTGTGTGCAAGACAGTAATTCCCACACAGAAGAGGTACTGTTCACTTGAGCCACATCTCCAAATAGATATAAGAGATGCACTACTGACACGTTGGGTTCAATTTTCCTCCTTACACAATGACCACACTTACTCTTTGGCATCCCCTCAAAAAGCCACGTCCAGGTATTTCTAGAGGAGCCGGTGGGATTGGAGGCTGGGGCTGGCACAGTTTCTGTGCTGGAGGTCACCAGTGTTTTTGGAGACTGAGGCAGCTGGGCTGGGACACCATTAGAAATACCACAGCTCAGCAGTGGCTCATGAGCTTTTCGGGAAGGGGACTTGAGAAGTTCAGTTTGCATTTTCAAAATTTGCCCGACAGGATCCAATTCTTTGGATAACTTTCTTGGAGGTTTCTTGGAGGCTTTTTTCCCCTGATCTGTGGTATCTGAGCAGTCAGTGATGCTTGCTGAAGGACTCTGGGTAGGGCAAGGAGATCTGGCAGTCTCTGCTGAGGTAGAGGAAACAGTGGTTGGCACAGCTGGTTTGCAAGCAGCTGTGGTTTCACAGTCTGAATCAATCACCAAACGCTCTTCATCCGTGTCACTGCCACATAAAGAACTGTAAGTCTCTTTTTTCTGTGCAGCATCAGGCTCTTTCTCAGAGCTCACTGCAACAGGGAGAACATTTAATGTTGTTTCACTGTCCAATACTTCCTTGGTCATGACATCCTGTGCTTTGCTCAGTCCTACCTCCACTGACTGAAAGCTTTTACAGGGAGAATGTTCTTGAGGGCTGCAGCATGGGATGCCATCTAATGATGGAAGCTGCACGCTGGCACGTGCTGAACCTTCTTGCTCAGAAAGGGTGGTTTTCTCTTCTTCATCTCCTCTGTTTATGGCAGATGAATTCTTTCCCCCCATTTTTAGGCCATGAGATAAAACGTTAGCAGTGTTACTAGATGTAGGAAAAGTAGTTTCCATTTTACAAGTTCTCGAGAGCTTGGTTGTTGCGCCAAAAGTTTCAAGTTCTGTAACATCATCATCGAAGTCCATCCCAGTGTCATCTGGAGGAGGAATTGTCCTGCACTGGTAGGTGTCAGAACACACCTTACCACAGGGATGAGAAAGTAATAAAATTAAAAACCACCAAAACAATAATAAAACAAACCAAAAAATGAGACATTGCTGAACTGAAAACACAAAAAATGTTCTACCATCCATATCTGACTGTTAGGAAAGAGAAGCAGTAATCGAAAAACCATTTTTCTTATTTACTGTTGAGATTTTGGTCCTATGAATTGAAAGACCATTCTAAAGAGTCAAAGTTCACAAAGCTTCTTCCAATGAAGCAAACTGTTCAAAAGACATTTTAATGAATTACACATTAAAGCTGAGATGCCTATGTAGAAGCATTTAAAGGAACTAGACAGACATTTTCTAACAGGGTCTAAATCAGCAAGAGAAAAACCACCAACAGAAAACCTGAATTTCCCTTTACCACAGGAAAAGCAACTCAGGAATTTTAACACAGGTTTTTGGTTTTGCTTGTTTTTAAGAATATGTGAATATACATACATCCCACTGAAGCAGGTTGTCCTCAGCTGGTTTGTCCATTGATACATTAGAAATTGGAACATAAGATGTTTTAGTTGCTAGGAAATCCATTGGAATTTCATGGAAGATTTGATTCCTCTCTCGTACTGTCATTTCTTTTCTCAGCAGAGGTGGATCAACATAAACCACTTTAGCTGGTTTGCTACCTTTTCAAGAATGAAAAGAGATTGAGTACATATTAAATGAAAGGAAGAAATACTGTTGTGTAATTCAAATAATAAATCTTTCAACTTCCAATTACAGTTAAATCCACTGCACACACACACCAGAAGAAATGAAAAATGATCCTTTCATTCATTAACAACGGAAGATAAAAGTATGTCCAGATACGGTGTGAATTATTATGATCCTGCAGCAGCAATACACACCACATTAATAGCTGAACATATTTCAAATGCAGTTCTAAGTAGAGAATTTGTAAAATAAGAACTGAGGATTCATCATTTCCTATACAGACTCATATCATCAAATGTATCCTGTTTTCCAAAAAGATCTTTTCTTCTTCCTGGTTTGAAAGTCAATTATTTTTTTAAGTCTCATTGTCCAAGTGATAGCTGCAGTTTATTTCTCCTCTAATCAGTTAACTCTGGCTGGGCTCAGCTGCTCCACTCCTCTGTTTGCACCTTAACACACTTATACACATGAATTCCCCAGAAATAAAAGCAGTGCCCTGCCCATCATAGCAGAGAAAGCCAAGGCACATGGTGAACACGGACTCCCTGTTTTATGAATAAAAGTAAATTAAAGCAAGGGGTTGGTTTAATTTAAGAGCAAAAGGAAGGCAGAGGGAAACCCTTCAAGAACCACTATGTATTTCTACCACCATCTGAACGCCCTTCAGGTGTTAATTTTGGTTTAAAAACTGTAATGCTGCTACAAAAGGAGTCAGGCATTATCTTTACTGATAAAGTCATTTAATTTACATAGGAAAGTGAAAATTTGTAAATGTTGCAGGTATTTCATAGCTTATTTATTATCTGCAAATCTGCTATAGAAACTTGTATAAGAAGCACAGAAGGACATTCCAACACAACAAACATAAATACATAAATAAACCATACTGTGTTTAAAACAAAAAAGTGTCAAGGAGAAGTTTATATTCAGATTACTTAAGAAGTGCTGGACAAGTAAAGTAAAGCAGTCAGGTGAGTTCATCAGCTTATTAAAATAAACATTTTCTGCTGTAATTGAAAAAGTTATCTTCATGGAAATATTCCTTATTTACTATTCTATGATATAATTAGATCCTTTTAATTCCAGAAAATGTTTGCTCTTTGCTTTTTCATAAAATTTCAGAATATCTCTGGTTTTTTATTTTACTGAAATCAGCTCACTTGATAATTTTAACAGGTTCATGCAGTTATATTGTTTCTAAGAACAAGAAGTTAGAGTTTTGAAAAGCCAAACTGGTTTTAACTGGTTTTTTGTTCTGGCTTTTTTTCCCCAGGTGGAAAATAGCTGAATGTCCAAATTCAACAGTTTATGATGGTAACTGCAGAGGTTGTTACTATTCTCAGTAACAAGGTGGAAAAAGGTATAGGAAACAATATCCAAGGACCCTGGATCAGCTTTCCAGCTTTTTTGGGCAATCCCTCCCCATAGTTTTAATAACAAAAACATCCCATACCTGCAACAGTGATCATTTTAACACAAACTGGAATTTCCCACTGTTCCTTGTAGTTCAGTCCATGATTATTCAGTAGAGTAAATAACGATTGATCACTTAAAACAACTTGAGGACAATATTTCAAAGCAAGTTTTTCTGCATTTGAATCTGAACTAATATCCTAAAGAGAAAAAAAAAGTTATTTCTTCCAAAGTTATTTTAAAAAATACATATAAATTTAAATTTACAAGAAAAACTCCAAACCCAACCAAAAATGGATATAATACAACCCCTACCCCCCAAAAAAGTCCAAAGTCTAACAGTGCCAGGCTTCAAAAGGAAATGAAAGAAAAAAAAAAACTTCCCTGAAGGTTTTCAGCTGAATCTTATGCATTCACTTTGCAGCATAAGAAAATACATCTTTTAAACTTGTATTTTCAGTTAATTTCTATACATTTGAATTACCAGGTTGAATAGGAATTTAGATAATCACAAAATATGGGAGCATGCAGAAGAAAAAAACATCCCCAAACCAGACTAACTCACAAATATACACTACAGATCTTCTTATGAGTTAAGCAACAGCACAATATAGACATCTAACACTGAAGTATGGTTAAAACTGCCCAGTTGTTTCAATACTGATTAGATATAAAGAACCTTAAAACAAATATAGAACCATCAAGAATACAAATTCAGAATTGAAATAACAAATTTGTTAAATTTTACAAGTACACATTTCCACGAAGGAAAGAGGCTGAGACTGCTCATGAGGTTGAAGAACATCATCAAGGACTATGAAGATAATGGGAGCCCAGGAGCACGGAGGACCATGAGAGAAGTAAGAAAAACCCAGTATGTTATTTTTTCTGACACCTCAGACATCATTAGAAGGGCTTTGTTTAACATCTTTGAGGCTTATACCATTCTCCTGCATCACCTCTGCTCCTGTCTTCAGCAAGTGTCTCTGAAATGACAGTGCTGCTCTTGAAAGATAAGTGAATAAACTCCTAAAAATAGCTGAAGAAAAGTTATGTGGCATAAACAGTCAAAACCCTCAGTTCTACAGAATGAAAACTCCCTGATTTTTGCAGCAGAAGAACACAAACAGAAATAGCAGCTATTTAATGGTCCAACGCAGTCTAAAAACTGTTCAACACATAAAAAGGTTCACATTGCACTTCTGTACAAAATATGCCTTAAAAATAACAATAAAGAGGCCAAAAACTGTTCAACACATAAAAAGGTTCACATTGCACTTCTGTACAAAATATGCCTTAAAAATAACAATAAAATAACAATACTTACATGATGCATCACATGAGCCCTTTTTTCTGGGGTTATAATAGATGTGACAGTGCTATAATCAGTGGGCAGCTGAACAGGCATGGAAGGGAAATCTGTTTTACCACGTCTTGCTGTACCCTGGGGGAAATCAAGCAGCATCAAAAAACAGCTTTCACAGCAATCATGCTCATCCAACACTGTATTTCTTATGAAGAAAAATATTTGAAATTTACACAGGTCCATTATAAAGTTAAGTGATATGAGAAAATGTACTATTAATGTAATCTTTTTCTGGCAAACATCTGGTGAAAAGAGTTAACAGACTCACTGCCAAAATAATTTTATTAAAGTTTTAATTAATAATTTGAATTATAACCCCTAACTCATGAACTGGGTAATAGTTGCAAAAATCCCTAATCCTTGCCTAAGACAACTCTGATGTAATTCTGCTTACTTAAAAACCCCCACAAACCCAATCTGTGTACGTAAGGTATTACCATTGCAAGAAGATTTTTTTCCAGCTTAAAGGTCAGCTGTGTATGAAACTTTCCTCCCATGATACTCATGATCTCCTGCAGGGTGTAAAACTCTGGATACTTCTGCACATGCCCAATACGTGCCCGTAGCAATTCCTAACACAAAAAGAATAATAATTTATGCATTTGTATCTTTCATAAGAAAGGGGGATTTTTGAAAAGTTTTTTCTGCAATTTCAAGCTGCATTTAAAAACTTAATAGGTACCAATACAGATCTATAACACTCTCACAATCACTGCTGTGAGAACTGCAATATATTCCAGATTCTCCTCAGCCCTTCATAAGCAAGGCTGACAACATATGCACACAACTGAGGCCAATCATTAAAAACATGCAGTTCAGTACAGTCTGAAACGTGCTAAACAGGTAATTTTCTTTTTAGTTAATTTTCTTGGCTTTTAGAGGAAACAATATTTTTTATACTACCATCCAGCTTACACTAAGCCTAGACAAAAGTCACAAAGGTAAAGGCATAGGATGATTCCATTTGTGTTGAAACTCACTGCCGAGTCAACTCTACATAATTTTTACAACACCTGAATTAAGTATTTAGGATATTTATTTAGTAACTAGAAAGTGTTATTTCTGCAAGTTGGTTAAAACAAAATATGGGCCTCAATTTTTAAGTCAGGGTATTAACAATAAATAGGACTTGAAGTCTGGAGACACATTTTGTGACCAGATGACAAGACAAAATTGCAAAGCCAATTCCACGATTTAGGGGGCAAAAAAAGCAAGCAAGATGTTTATCTTCACATGTGCCCAGACTCTGTGGTAATTCACTAATGGGAAAGTTTAATGAACTTTTTTTCAAAAATGTGCTATAAACCCAAGAATGATGCATGAAGTTGCATTCATGTTTGATCTTAGAATCATCAAAGTGGATATTTAACACAGCATGAACTTGCAGAGGGTTATGATTAAAGCCTCAGTAACTTCCAATTAAAGTCACTTTATAACATGCTACTTAGCTTGCCTGTGGAGGTAAGCTTAACATTCTGCCCAGTAGTAGGAGCCACTTCTTAATGGAAGTGCACAGCTAAAATGCAGCTTCTCCTTTCCTGAATATAAGGAAGCAATTTATTTATTTGATGAATAAATATTTTTGCAGTGATTTCTTCTAGGACATCTTTTTGGCTCCAATGAAGCACCGGCCCAGCCCCACTGCGCAGCACAGGAGAAATGGCCACTTCCTCATCTCATCCCAACAGCAACCAGCAGGGCAGGGAACAGCACATCCATGAGCACTTCCACCTGTCCTGATCATCATCCCAAGATGGTTTTTTAACAAGGGCTGGAATTAAGCATGGCACTGGTAATTACCTCAGTATAACGCAGGGCATCTTCAGAGATGGCATCATAATCCTGGGCACAGCTCTTTGCAGCGTTTTGGGCAAATTTCATAAATTCTGCAATTTCATTGTTTACTACTTCTTTCATTTGCTGGGGGAAGGAAAAATCTATTTTTAAGACAAAACAGAATCCTCTGTACTAGACAGGTAACCAACAAAATTTCCAGAGAGACAGTACAGGTAATGACATGAGGGAAGGAATAGATTCCACTTGCTACTCAATTTGACAAGTGTTCAGTTTCACTTCAGTAAAAAAATATTTTGCAAGGCCCATTTCCTTTAAAAAAATCCCAAAACAAGAGCACACCATCCCAAACAAACAGCAAGTTTCCTTTGATACAGTGATTTATAAATAGAGGGGTTACAAGACATGGTTGATGAAGCTTACATGGCAAAGTCACAAAGATAGCTGACTTCTGATTTCATGAGAAATTATAAATAATAACAACACAGCAGTTACTGATGTGCCTGGAAACAATATTTCCATTGTTACAGCATAAAAATAAATGAAGCAGCATCAATAAGGAAGCATGGGAAACCAAATGCAATGGCTCAACACAATTTGCTGATTAATTACATTTCCCAGGACTCAACATGAAGGTGGCCCATTCCCACACACTGCTGAGGCTCAGCAGCAGGGGGAACTCAGCCTTTCCCCCGTGAGCACAGCAGGGCAGCACACAGGACCCTGCCCTGCCAATGAACAAAGCTCCCACAGCTGGCAAAGATCACAGCCAAGTGTATCCACAGCCTAACACTACCTAGGACTGCTACAGCCACTAGGAAATGCTAAAATCACAGCAAGGACAACTATTGACTTCCTCCTCAGAAAAAAAAGGGTTTTTTTGGGGACTGGGTGGCTGTTTGGTCAGTTGTCAGAGATCTACACTTATCCTCAGGTGTTCAGATCACTTTAAAAAAAAAGAACAAAACACAAAAGCCACAAAACCCCAATTTCAATGAAATTACCAAATACACTTTCAATTTCTATTAAAAAGCTGATCCTGAATAATTCAGACCTTTATTACCGTTCATAATACCATGAATTCTATGACAAATTAATTATGACAAATTGAACTCAAAACAAGTTTTTCTTCTTTCCTCTTTGTAAGAAAAAAAAAAATTGTATGACTCCCTCAGTGATGGTCATATGTTCATATCTTACCATATATGTGAAAAATTCCCTTTGACTTGCTTCATTAACTTGGAAATGGTTTCTTTTTTTTGAGAACTTAGTCATCAGATACAAGTATGTCTTCTGCTCCTTCTCAGTCAAACAAGAGGTAAATGGGTAGGGGAGTCTGGGTTCTGGGAGAGGATGGTCATCAGCTGGGCTTTTAGCCTCCACCTCAAGTGACTCTGCAGCCTGCAGGCTACAAGCCTGCTTGTTTTCTGAAGAGTTTGCCAATGCCTCTGCATTTTTCTTTGCCTCTCTGAAAAAGAAGTAACAAATGGACGAATTTGCAGCTTTCACATAAATACTAATATTAGTCAGAAACAAGGAAGGCAGCTATGCAAGCCTGAACTGCTCTGAGAGACACTGCTGTTCCAATTCCCATCTGTGCCAATGGACTGTTCTTGCTCTGAAACTTCACCTGTACAATCAGACTAACCCTTAGTGCCAGCAGCAGGTCTGCAACTGCTTTAAAAACAAACAAACAAAAAAGGTAGGGTTTTCATTTTTAAAGAAAAAACCAAAATGGTGTTAACAAGCTAAATATGAAACACATTCTTTGTTCTAGAAACACACATTATTAATGAAAGGATAAAGAATCTCCACATTTCATCAGTCACTGATGGGCACTGTCAGTTCTGATAGTAAAGGAGAAAGATTTAACTAGAAAAAGCCTTTCCTTCATTGCAGAAGAAGGAAATCAAAATTACTTCACTGTAACAATAGAAATTCTAGATTTCAGTGAAGAAATTCTTACAGCGTACACAAATCAAGCATTTAATTTTCTACTCTAAACAATGCTGGAATCAGTCACCAAAAATAACAGTAGACTTGGGCAAGGGGCATGACCGTTCTAACAACAATAAAGAAGTACCATAAAGCTTGTTCTTAAAGCAGCTCCAGTAAACAAAGGCCAACCAGCCTAGCCCTGGTCTATTTAAAATAATTTTACTTAAGAGAGAAAATATTTAAGGCTAACAAAAAGAACATTAACTGCTGATCTTGGAAAAAGCATATTTTTAAGATACTACTTCAGCAGTAGAAAACATCTCAAGTGTCATTCAAACCCAGCAGTATCACGTCCACAGTTCTTAATAACACTTCACAGCTGTCTCTCTAAATATGAGAATGTGTCCATCCTTGTGGCACAAACTGGCAAATTTAATTAAGCTGTAGCAGCAACAAGATGCTGACTCAGATATGCCAGTGTAAGAACATCAAGAAATTCTAGCAGCTTAAATTGGCTATATTCAGCACTGAATGAAATGGCAGCACATCAAGATCATTTCACTATGCACTGCTGTCACAGTCTTCATTGGGGTGAAAACCAAAATAATCTGACAGAGCTTTTCTGTCCATATTTACAGCATTATACTTCATTTGAGCTGACAGCTTAAATTTTTCCCCTTCATTTTATCAGCAACCCGCTTTCACTGCTTTTGCACCAACAGAACATACACTTTTGTAAATATCTATGAGAAACTCCCCAAAATTAGCAAATTTCCTCCAGCTTTTACTTCCACACTTGCTTCAACAGGTGTCATTTCTCTTCCTCTTGACTTTGGTCACACTACCCAGCTCCATCCATTTCTGATTTTTACCAGGTGCCACCTCTCTGTCTTTTGGCTGCAAACCCACTGGAACCACACACAGCTGGCCACAATCCCCACTCCCGAGTGTCCACTCCAGAAACCCTCCCAAGGAAGAATCCCACAGCAGTTTCAGATGTACCAGTAACAAGCTGTGAGGCTGTGCTGGTATCTTGCCAATTCAGGGAAAGTTGCTCCAAGAGGTATGAACCAGAACAATCTTCTCTAGCTGAAGATGTGGGATGAAGCCATGTGATGTAACAGGCAGCCCCCTCACACTGTCAGTTCATAAAAACACAGACATTCCCCTCTTGAACAAACTACTTCCCCACATGCTGAACTCCCCACTTACATGGTTTCCCATCCACATTCCTCCCTGTGTGAGGGTTCATGCACCAGGCAGCACGTTCACCTCCCTTATCAGGTTTGTAACTTCTTAAACCAAGAGCCTGAATACACTCTTCCAAATGCTGAGATCCAGCAGCACGAGCCACACTTCTCACTATGTGAAATCAATGCTATTCTACTTCATCAACCTAAGAGAATAAGAAAATGACACCAAAAGTGCAAAAACAACACTACCTGTACCACCTGTGTTCACACAGCTTCATTTCCCAGAGCAAAGGACTCAAGGACTCCTCCTGCTTTCTTTTCTTTTTTACAACACACAAAGCACAGGCCAACAGCTGTAACAAATCCTTGTGTGCCACACAACAAGCAGCTTTCCCCAAAACAGCATGGGATGTATCCATGGCATGATAATAAAGAGCACAAAATGATAAAATAATATACCTGTTTGATAAATGCCAGAGTTCAGAGAGACTCAGAGACAAGGAATGTTTTTCATAAAGTTCATGGGAGAAAAATACTTCTTGGCCATTTTTTGGAGGAATATCCCTAATAAAAGAAAATTTTAAAATAAATATACAGCAAAACAAACAAAAATTAAAGGCCACCTTTGTCCTGAGAAACAAAAATCAAGAATTATTATATATGAAAAAAAGAGGCCACCTACATAGTGGTTCCAGATTTCCTTTTCATATCAGTTACATTTGTACTAATACCTTATGTTTTTTTCATAGTAAAATATATATTCTGAACAGTACAAAAGAATTTCATTATTACAAGACATCAATTCTAGGTATGGTGAAATTCTGATGAGTTTCACACTTTCACAGGTTCATGAATCAAAAACAAACTTTGGGTTGAAATCGCAGGAACTTTTGAGAAAAATACACCAGTTTTAGAGCTTTTCAGAAAAGCTCTGTTCTTGTCTTCTACGCTGATCTGATCTTCTATATTGCCTTTTCATTTTTCCTAATAGAGCCGTTCAAGCGAATAGGGTTTATACAATCCCAACCTCGCTAACTGCTGTGAAAGGCACGAGCAAGGATTTTATTTACGTTTTACCTCACAAACTACAATTCCAACAAACCTCGCCTCTTTAAAGAGCCGAATTACGTATTGGCAGAGCTTTTCGTATCAAAAACATGACCAAGGTCCCTGCCTAGAATCCCCGCCGTGGCTCTCCGTGCCCTCACAGCCGCTCAGGCAGAGCCCGCCCGGCCTCACAGCCCGTCCGCGCTCCGCCCGCTCCCACGGCAGGAGCCACAGGAAATGGCGCACGCCCCCTCGGGGCGGCGTCCGGCGGTGCGGGAGCCGAGTCCACCCCGCGGCGCGTTCTGCTCCCGGCGGGGCAGCGCGGAGCTGTGGCCGCCGCCCACGCCTCAGGCGCGCCCGGCCAGACCGCTCAAGGAGACGGAGACGGAGACGCGCTCACCATGTCAGCGGCGGCCCCGCGGCCGCCATCTTGGCAACGCCCTCAGGGCGGCAACTTCGCGCGTCCTCGTCCCGCCGCCGTGCGAGCCCGCCTCAGGACACTGGCCAATCAGCGCCCGGCGCATGTGTCAGGTGTTCTGAGCCAGCCAATAGAGACACGGGCTCGAGCAGCGCCTCAGAGTGTGGCCGCCATCTTGTGGCGGGCGGGGCGGATGATGGCGTGGGGTTGTATTCTGCGTGCTCGCAGGCGTGGCCTGGGCAGAAGGAGGATGCCATGGGCGGCACATCCCGCCCCTCCCCGCGTGTTTCAGAGGTGGGGCTCTGGGCAGAGGGTGGGTGTCCTGGGTGGCTCCTCCCGCTCCGGGTGTGCAGGGCGAGGGGCCCCGCCTGTCTCTGAGGGGTTGGAGGCGCGTGAGGGCTGAGGTGCCCGTAGAGGACGCTGCGTTCAGCAGCTTCCTTCCTCTCTTAGGCGTTCAGTTTCCCTGGCTCACTCCTCGTGAGCAGCGCCGCAAAATCTTTTTAAATTGATGGGCAGGCACATTTTACCAGTGCGATAAAATGTGGAATTCAGGTATTCTCACAACCCGTAGGTTTGGTGATGGAAACTCATTTGCTTGTGGTGTCACAAGAAAAGGTGATGCCGGTCCCTGCCCTAAAGATGGGGAAATGATGAGGGCACAGTATGTGTCTGGTGTCCTGTGATTAAAATGGGGCACTATTACACAAATACAGGAAAACCCAGAGATGATTCAGAATTATTTCCAAACCCGCCAAACAAGGGAGTCTTCAGTTTGCTTGCAGATCAGTTTTAAGGGCACTGATTTTAATTCTGCCCTCTTGATTTGTTTATCTTAGAGAAGCAGAAAGGTTTTCTGTCCCACCGGATAGACCCACCCAGAGCCCAGCCGTGGAATTGCCCCTTGTAAGGAGTGATCTTAGTTCCCGACCCAGGTATGGTAACAGTTCTGTAGCTCAATTATAAGAACGCTTATTTTGGTGAATATGGCAGCTTAAATCCTACTAAATCTCTCTAAAACCTGCAGAATCTGGTTGGTTGGTTTTTGGTTTTTTGTGTGTGTGTGTGTTTTTTTTTTTTTTATTTTTTATTTCTTGGGGTTTTTTGTTTGTTTTGTTTTTTGTTTTTAAATAGAATACTGCTACTTCCTACTGATGATCTTTGTACTTCCATGGCACAAACATGAACATCAGGAAACAGGTTTCCACTGTGAGGGTGATGAAACAGTAGCACTGGGCTGCCCAGGGAGGTTTTGGAGTCACCATCCCTGGAAATATTCAAAAGCTAGGCATGGTCCTGGGCAACCAGCTCAGGGAGACCCTGCCTGGGGCCTCTGAAGTCCCTGTCACCCTCAGCACTTCTGTGGCTCTGTGAAATAACCAGAGGTCAAACCCACCACCTCCTAAGGTACAGTTTAGCTTTCCTTATGGTTCCCTTATGGGCAGGCACAGGAGGGAGGCTTCAGTTTGTCTCACTTCAGAAAAATTCCTGTGTTTTAGATAGAACTACACAGTTCTTCGTAAAGCTGTTCCCTAACCTCTGTGTTGGTGGTTAGGAGCTCTCCTGTGACTGGGAACACTGGGCAGGGTCCTGTCCTGAGGATGAGAAAATGAAATCTGTGTTTTCAGTGTCTTGACTGCTGCAGACAGGGAGCTGCTGTAGAACACATGGCACTGCTTAGTGCTGCCGTCCTAGGAGTTAGCACTTACGCTACTTTTTTTGTAGGGTTGATCTGTAGGTGAAGGCTGCTTCCAGATACAGTGCTTCAAAGATGAATGCTAGAATCTATTTCTGGATCATGGTCAGACATATAAATACTGAGCTGTTAAAAGCTCTGTCAAGACTGAGGCATTTCTGAGTAGGTGCAGAAAGAGAATTTCACATGCCTGAAGTCTTAAGACCAAGCATGCTGCTGACACATTCAGGTATTCCCAAAGTTAGCACAGCAGAGGGGAGTGGCACCTTTGACTTTTGATGCCTAAATTATATTAAAACTTTGATACCCAAATTTTGATACCCACATCCTCATTTAGATCTGACCTAAAGTAGTATTTCTGCTGGGAGTGCTCACTGGGAGGGTTTTGTGCCAAATTTCTTCTATTTTGCACTTGGTGTAGTGAACTGTGATTTCAAACAAGACGCCTTCAAACAGAGGGAAGCTGCATTAATCCACATTCATTCTGGAAAGGTTTCAAGCTCTCGTTGGCCAAAAGGGGAGCTTAAAAGGTGTCTGGGGGTCACCTTGTTTCCCTGCTGCTGACAAAACATGATGTACATGCTAAATCAGCTCTAATATATGTGTAGTCTGATTTTGTATCAGTGCATTCCTTAAGGAATAAACCTAATAAAACGTAATTCAGAAAACCAAGGAAGATGCGACTGACAAAAAAATTAAGACAGATTTTCCATTAGAAGCTGAAGTTTTATTACAGGATAAGAGTACATAAAGCACATCTAAAATCGATGTGTTCAATGCACTTAATAAAGGTAATGTAATATTAAAGGTACGGTTTCTAAGTACAATATAACAACATTCATATTAGAATGAAAATTGGAGTATTTAAAAGACAACATTAAATCTCTTATTTTTACAGTCATATTTACAAAATGAATCAAAATACTTTTTTCGGGACTGAGTAAAATAACAAACTTGAATATAAGCAGGCTATTGTAAGAGTGAGTTGGAAAGGTCTATGGAAGGGAGAAGTGAAGTGACTGGGTAAAGATCATTAGCAAAGGTTTAGTACAATACCACATCCTCTTGATGGCTTACATTTTATTGTGGCTAGAAAAGGGGTTTATACATACTGTACACATAACAGACAGCACATATTTACATGTACAGTATAATTGCATTAAACTTGTGTGTATTTACAGAAATTTGAGCATATCACTCAACGAGGTTTTTAAGTCTGTGTGCTTCATCTTCAATCTGATGTATATTTGTAATCAGCATTTATTCTGGCGTTGGTATGTTGAACATTTAGTAAAGAGGGAGGATAAATGTTAACCAAATGGTTTTGCATAAATATATCAAACTATTAAAACAACAGGGAGAATGTGTTCCTGGCATTACCTATAAGTTGGTACATACAAATTTAAGAGTGAGTCCTTCTCTCTTTGAAAATATCAAAAGGTGACTTAAATCAAGAAGGGAAAACAAAATTGTCATGGCTTATATTTAAATAAGATTGTAGCTTCAAGAGGTTTTTATAATTGTCCTGATAGTGTTTGCAGTTAAACATTCCACTTATGAAAATATACCCATGGTGCAGTAAAGTTTGTTTTTGTTTTTAGGTCAACAGTATGTTTGCTGTTTAAAAAAAATTATTTATATATATATATTCCTTGGATTGAGGGTATAAAAGCAGTGCATGGAAGCCAAGAACCATGGCTTTAAAATTCACTACCTTCTATTATCAAAAAGTGCAGTAAACAGAAACATTGTTATTAATAAATTGCTCAAAAATCTTTGCTAAAGATCTTATAAATTCAGTAATATTACAGAAAAATTCTAATAAATATTTAAAAGGTTAATTACCTCCTTAGTTAGATATTTGATATCCATCAGTTTTTAAGAATGAACATGAAAACAATATCTAGAATGAAAGGAACAGGGGACAGGAATATTTTGAAGGGTATGTGACTACGTAAATTAAGGTATACATGAAAAAATAAAAACAAAACCCCCATACCTGACAAAATGTTGCAAATTCCACTTCTTAATTAACTTTAGTTGCTACTGGCTGTCCTTGGATATGTATGCATGGTGTATAAAGCATATCCAGGGACTGAATTTAGCCATCCATCACGGCAGATTTACAGAACATTCCTATTTACAGTAACTGGAGTTAAGTGTGTAGGCATGGCCCAGTAACATCCGCAGTCTGAGCGTGTACAGATCCTATTTAAAGTGAGGAGGGAGGAAGGCACCCAGCAGAATAACATCTAGAAATTTCCGATGCAACAACAGGATAGAATTCTCCCAACGAGCCAAATAACTACCTCCCTTTCAGACAGACAGCACATTGTAATTATTTCATACTGGCAGATTAGATGTTTTTCTTATTTTGAATACAATACAGGCAGACTCTTTTAGTAACCAAAAGGATAACAAGCTGGACAGAACAATTTTAATAACATTAATAATTAATAATGTTAATAATGTAGAAAAAAATTCTACATTTGATATCAAGTATCTGTACCGGTGAAGTAATTTTCTCCTTATTAAATATACTATAGAATAATTTATATAATGACACTATGCATTTAAAGAGAAAACCATGTCCCAAATCTTGTACTCTGATACAGGTACTTGTTGGGCATATGTTGGTGTATATATATATATACACAAATATATATATTTATATATAGTTATACTCAGTGAAATTAACAAGACCCAAAGGTGGTATTGTCTAGGAATAAAAGGGGTTTGTTTGTTTTTGTTCACAAAAGTAACTTATCTAGCACCACACATCAGAAAAACACAAAAATAGCACACTCTAGTTCTAAACAGCTATGTCTAAAATAGATTATATAGTAAAACAGATATTATACAGCATAATGTGGTATTTGATAAACAGATAAATATTTGCACTGTGTAGGCTGTTTATAGTATAATTTTATCTATACAGAATGAAAGCAAAAAGTTAACTGTATAGAGGTGAGCAGAACAACATTGAATATTATGACTCCAAAGCAGAGACAAAGTTAGAGTTGAAAGAATAGAGCAAGATAAAATGTTTACAGGCCATTACAAGTCCTTAAATTAGTAGTAAAATAAGGAATCAGTTGCTCAAGTTTAAGAAAGCAGTAAACAAGAGATTTGCATTTACATGCAGATGTCTAAAACTTGTATTTCTTTTAAATCTATGCACAAAAAGTCATTTGTTTTATTGCTTGACATTCAGTTATGGCTAGAATATTTTTAACCTTTTTTTTTTGTACTTTGGAAACAAGAATATTGTTAAAGGTGCCATAAAAATGGACAACATTGAAAACAGTTTGCAAATAAACCACCTAACACTGCAGTTCTTTATACATTTTAAAAAGCCTTGTCTGGGGTTTGTCATATGTTAAATATATTTAATCTGGGAAAATACATTGTAGCTTGAAGCCTCCCATTGGCCCAAACATCCAATACAAAAACACATCTCCAGAAAAGGAGCAGGCAGACAATACAGTTACATATAAAGAAGCAGCCAGTTAATGTCCTAATACTTCAAATAGTGACCACTGTTCTGTAACTTGTTTCTAAATCAATGTAGAAATGAGGAACATTTTGGATTTAAAAAGGTGTACAGTACGTATGCCTTTTTGTGAAATAAAATTCACTGTATTGCTTATGAATTCTCTGCATTAGATATAGATAGCATTACAGATTGCAAGTTCCTGTAAAGTTTGTGCATCTACATTAAGACTTTGTGGGGTAATTCAGGGTAGTGTTTCTCAAACCGAAAGTCACAACTGGTTGTTTGAATGCTGCCCAAGTGTTTACATCGTGATCAAAACACCCTGCCAGGCACACCCAGCTCTGCTCTTTGTGAAGTGCAGGTTCTCCAGCGCAGAGCACGTGCTTGTGCTGGCTACGGGAGCACACTGGGCAGGGAACTCGGGAGCTGCAGCTCAGCCCCACGGCCTGGAGGAGCTGCAAGAGCCGGCTGGGGACTGCACTTTGCATTTTGCAGCGGCCAGAGAGTTCCCAAGTACCTGCAGCAGCTTGGTTCCTTCAGTTAGGAAATGCTGCCAATCCTTCCAGCTGATCCACACTCCCTGCCCCAGGAAACCTAAGTCAATTCCAACACAGAGAGCCCTGTGCAGAAATATAGCTCATAGAGATTGTGCTTTCAGAAACCTTGAGAAACACTAACATAGGAACACAAGTATACATAGGACATGTGAACACTGAAAACATGCAGATGTTAACAAAGTGTGATGTCACACATCAAGTTGAACAACTTGATTGTGAAGTTCAGCTTGAAGAAGTAATAAGATTATGAGGGAAGACATACAAGTGAATATTGTGGCAGAAAAAGTGAGCCTATGAGTATTGATCTGAAGCCTTTATCATGTTTTGTTTCTTATTTGGATAGCCTACTTATTGCTATAAAGTTATTGCTATATTCTACCAATGATAAAGGCAAAAAAAAAAAAAAAAGGACAAACAGCAACATTATAGATGGAAAAGGTAGAATACAGCTTCTGTTTAGATGTTAAAATTCTATTTAGTACCTGAATAAAGTTCCAGAGAAAGACTGTATATTATGTTATGTATTTTTCTCCTCAAGTCCAGTGACTTAGCATTATGTAGCAAGCCATTATCACAGTACTAGAATTAAAGCACATACTGCAAGGATTTTTAAATAAATACTCATTTACATTTTAAAACTTTTCTTTTTGTTGTTGTATTTGGTATTTGTATGCATTTGCCCTCATTTCCACCAAATGATTAACTGACAGAAATACTTAAACAAAAAGAAAGAGTCTAATATTCAAATATATTAATGGATGTAACTTTAAAAGTGATAAATATTAGTATTAATAATTAAAAATAATTCTAATAGTTATGTTTCTCCAGCTAGGGAAAATAAAGATGTTCTGTGCAATCTGAATCAGCTAGCACAGGTAGAATTCCATACTCAAGAGAAAATTGCCTATTATTTTTGGATATTGTGTAGTAAGTGCTGTTTCTGGCATATATATTAATAGGTTTGTCTATATTGAGGAGTTTAGGAATGTCTAGGGAAAAAAATAGGCATCATTTGCACAGCTTACACTGTGTAACTTGTTTTGTTCATCAAGTACAGACTGGGGATTGTCTATGCCAATCCAAAAAAGGATACTGTAATGCTTGGATCATCCCACTACACAGTTAAAACATCTTATAGGTTGTCCATTCTAAGTGTTTAATTGATGTGCAAGTATGTAAAGAATAGGGTGCACTGTCAATCAGCAGTAGGAATTCTCTTCTGCTGAAGATGCTGGAACACCAACTGATTGTACTTGCTAAGCACTTGTCTGCCTTGGAAAGCCATTCCAAGCTAAACTCAGCTGTCAGCTTGTGAAACCGTAACTATGCTCTCCCTATTCATTAAGCAATCTAAAGTAACCAACTGTATACCTGTGAAAAAACCCTCAAAAATACCAGAAAACTGGGGCTTTCTCCAAGCAGACACATTGGATGGAGAAATCAAAATTCACTCTCTTTCCAATGTAACCAAGGTACTGAAGTCTTGCTCATTTTGTTCATAGTTGTTTACTTGCTTTTCTACTTGCATTTTCAAAAGATTGTGAAGCCATAAAACAAAGCTAATTGGGACAGGCTTCAAGCATCCCATAGTTTGGCACTGGGAGATTTCTAAACATTGTTGGGTTTGGTGCCATTGTAAAATCACTGGGAATTGCTGTATTTGATGTACTAGATATGTAAGTTTCTTCAGCTGCAGTGTTTCTTTCCAGTCAGGTTTTGGCTTTACCATGAAACATCTGCAACAATGACAGACAACACTGGAAGTGCTGTTCTTGTATTCCTGCAGATCTGTGTTCCTTTCTATGTGACTTCACTGATGAAACCTAACCATGACCTTTTTCATTCTTACTGTATTCTCACAAACTGATTAATTTCTTTGATAATACTTCAAATACTAAAAAGCCGCTTTCTATTGCAGAACACTGAATTTCAGCTGGAAAAGTAGTCCTATCATTATAAAAATGTTCAGAGGGTATTGAAATTAATTTATATCATTTATTTAGTGGGTCAGCATTTATTTTCTAAAATACAATTGTAAAATCGTTGCACTATTTGGAGTTTTGAGCACAATACCAACCAAGAAGCAGCTCTACTGCAAGAGTGAGCAAGACAATGAGGCACGCATAGAGCATTTAGTTAAAAAAAACCATCCAGTTCTCTTGTGCCTGGGGGCAGGGGGAAGGGAAGAAATACTAGCATATTTTTTAAAAAGTAATTTGTTCCACCAGCAGTACTGGCCACCCTGTTGAAGAGTTTTAGAAGATCCCTGAGCACATTAGTTTCTGACTTCTAACCCCAGCTCCAAAATGATAGGGCTTCTCTTGTTGATAACGAGATGGATTGTCATTCACAGTTAAGTCAATCATAAGGTGCTTAATCTATTTACCCTTTTTTTTTCACCAATCAGCACAAAGAACTGTCAGAAAATAACTTTTATTTTTCTTTTTTAAATAATAAAAGGGCACAAAATTTAAACAATATTTTGTGACAGTGGTTTAGGATTATTATCTGGCTGCCCCTCAACAACAGACAAGTGATTCAATCGACAAAAAAAAAAAAAAAAAGGAAAGAAAAGAAAAAAGGCAAAAAAAAAGAAAAATCCTGTACAAATATGTATTTTTCCCTGAGGGATCAAGGTTACACCCGCAAGTGCTCTATGTACATATTGCACTGTAGAGGAATGAAGAACATGTGCAAAAAAAGCAACAATGATTGAAGCTTACTAATCAAACCTTTTAATCATGACTGCTATGTCATCTTGCATTTTGGAATGTCGGAACACAGCTATTCCTTTAATCTAAAATGTAAAAATAAAAAACAAGAAAGAAAAAGAAAAACGCACCTCTACTATGGCACATTCAATGAAATAAAAATTTTCCAAAGACAAATAGACAAATTCCATCAAGAAAATAATACAAAGTTCGTTCGTTTGTGGTTTTTTTTTTTGTTTTTTAGAAAAATTACATTACTTTCTTTCATTGTTTCACATTACAAAATCTTTTTTTTTAATGTTTACACAAATCACATTTTATTGCAGGAATATTTCAAGTGCCATCAAACATTTATAGAAGGGTTAAAAAAATAGAAGTCTCTCTAAAGTGGTCCAGACAAGGCTTTGTATAGAATAAATCTTTTTACCACCTTCTATTTTTGACTTAAGTATTTTGAATACATTTTCTTTATTCCATTGACACTTAACAGCCTAGAAGCAGCCGCTCACACGTCCCACGCATACACTCATGTGCGCACACAATGGACTCTCTCACACACACAGGTGCACATAGACAGATATCTTGGTATTCATACTAAGATAAGCTAATAAAGAACAACCAAACTTAAAAACAGCCTCCCTTTTTAACTAATTCCATACATCAAACAATGCTGGAGGTGATGACATATTAGGGTGGTTCATATGACAGTATAGTCTAGTAGCTCTTCCTAGAAAGCCAGAAAATATCTCCAGGGATAGATATAACTCCCAAGGAAAAAGCTTTGCAGACTCTAAGGACTAGGTCATCTAAACTCAAAATATTATGTTCAGCTATCCTAGTGTTTTTATTTGTAGTGAACTGGGCAGATGATGAAAATACTCATGTGAATATCCATTGACCTCCAGTGGTTTTTAACTGGTTGATCATCTGATGGCAGGCCACAGTCCCAGGGGTTTTGCAGAGGGCACTTCCTCTGCTGCGCTGTGTTCTTACATGGCCATCTCCGACCAGCCACTCTGGTGTTATTCTGAGTCCCCTTGCATAAAAACCTCCTTGGCAACAGATGTCTTATCAGTGATCTGCTGGTTTTTCCCCTCTCCAGGAAGGCCAACCCAAAAGTTATACTCTATTGCCAAGTGGCTGTTAACTGTGACCAGGAAAGCAGAGTTACTTGGGGTGTGTATGTTCAGCCTGATTTAAGAAGGTCCCAGTACACATGAGCTCCCACAAACAAAAACAACAGTACTTTCTGGCCTGGAAGATCAGTCTCAGCTAAGGCCCTATTTGAAACCTTTTTATTGTTATGTATTTTATTAGTAAATGCTCCAAGACTTATATTGTCAATGATTTATGAATGTAAATATGCTAAACAGAATCCAAACAAAACCACTGGTGCCTAGATACCTGGTAAAATACTTATATTCCTCATGAAAAGGTAAGAGCAGGATGTGACTGAAAACTAATCCCCAATATTTTGCCTGGTAGTCTACATTGTCAGAAGTAGGAGGTGTATCTCGCTCTCTAAAAAAGTAAGGTCTTACTTCACTATTCATTAGTTGACACTGAGATTAAGTTTAGTTGATCTTTACAGGACTAGCACCTAAGGCTGGTCACATTCAGAAAACATTTGTTAGTTTAAAGAGGTGCTTCAAAAATAGGAATACACATTACAATGCAAGTACCGTATCATGCCAGTTACTCCAATAAAGTAAACAATGATCCTAGGAAAAGTGTTTCAGTGGGACTGGAGTGAGCACGTGCTGGGCTGTGAGCCACCTCTTCAGGTGCAGGCAGGATGGAGCAGGAAAAAGACAGCTCTATGGACTTCTTCCAAAAGCCTCCATCCCAGTGCTCACAGCACTGCAGGTGTTCCCTTCCCACACTCCAGGACACACTGCTCTGAGGAGGAAGTGTGATGCTCTGCTCTTGCCCTCCTTTCAAAGCCTAGAGATGAGTGATAGCTGTAACCTTCCCTGATGTGCTAGACTGGAACACTTTTAATAAATGTCATAGATAAATGTTTCTATTTGACCCCAAAGGAAACACATTCAAATCATAGAATAAACCTGTATTTTGCCAATAAGAACCTGCTGATCTGATTCTCCTTTTTAAAATTCTTAAGCTTCAGTGTGCGTCTATTCACTTGTTACTTCTCAACAACTATAACCTATATAAGAGATTGTTTACCCTTGGAAGTTAAATCAGTAGGGCACATTCAGTCTCATTCCTTTTAATTTTTTGATGTTCCCAGCTTTTTCTTAGGTAGTTCATCAAAACTGCATTTGTGATGGCCTACAGGGCATCCAGTTATGAATCTTCATCTAATCCAAACCCAAATATCCACCTCTGGCTCAAACAGCCACAGTTTGCAATGTTGTTTATGTGAACCTGCTTCCTTCAGAAATACATTTACTGCCAGCTTTGCTCAGAGATAGAATTCTTCCTGAAGGGAATGGTAATTAATAACACTGCAAGATTCAGCTTATTGCTTGGTTATGCAATACAGGAATCAGAATTACAGAATGCAGGTTTCTGATATTAATGATTTCCAGGCTTGTACTGAGTACAAACTAATGCTTTCTAGCAACAGTGTGCCCTTCCTTTCTTAGTCTGTTCCCATCTGATGAACTTTAAAGTGCATCTTTTTAAACAAGGAGAGAACAGACTTCTCTGCTCAGTTCCCTGAAACCAAACTGCTGGAACAACAGGGGTCAGTGTGTCTCATCTCACTGAAGCCAAAGCTATGGATTTTGATAGGTTACAGCTTGGCATTTGAAGGCATTGTTTACGATATGGAGTACAAAAGTATGTAATATTACATGTAAAAATTACATTTCTGCAAGCATGTCATACACACATACTTTTACTGTAGATACAGACTTGAATAAATGCTTTCAAACCTGGATTTATGGTGGGCAGGAGTACACTATTTAATAGCCTGATTTTCAAAGATGCTGTGTAACCCATTTGTAAATGATCTGTAATTAATTAGTTCAACTCTGACAGTGGAGACTCAGAACCTTTGAAAATGAGGCTTTTGACTTTGCAACATTCCGGTTTGAAAGACTTGAAAATAAAAGTACCTTTGAATTTAACTTCTGAAAAGATTATTTTAATGTAGAAAATTGTCATTATTTTCAACTCTTTAAAAAAATCTCTAACCATTTCAGGATATGACCAGCCTCTCTTTAAAAGTAACATGGAAAACAGCAGCATAAATACCTCCCAATGTACCAGTACCTGCCAAACCTTTTTCAGTTAAACTTGAATTTCTGGTGCACATGCAACACAACAATGAACACGCTAGCATTTAATTTAAAGAAAAAGGTGCAAAATGAAAGTGCCTTATCAATTCAACAAGAAAAGCTATACCAGTAACTACATTTTATATTAATTAAAACAATATATAAACAATATCTCTTTTGCTATATATAGTCTTCATGCCCATTTACCCTGTAATATATTATAATGCTATTGTTGCTATTGCTATGGACCCTTTTCATGCCATTCTGTCTACTGGCAAACAGTGGTAGGTGAAAAAAAATCGTCCTTCATGAAACAATGAGCAAGTTGTGCAAACTGATGCTGAAATCTCTGCAATGCACACCAGTCGCTGATTACTAGGTGGACTCTGTTCTGACCAACAAATTGATTGTTCTGTCAAAAGTCTGGGCAGTGAACTACAGGAGAAAACAACCTTCTGACATGAGTACCCTCAGTCTGTGTAAACAGAGGTCAAGGATTGAGAAGTTGAGACAGAAAAAGGGTCCATATTTGTAGGCATAATGGAAATCATATGCATGAGAAAAACAAGTTCAACTTTGTTTCATTGTTTCCCATCCTTCGCCTGACCCCGACCGCCAAGAGATGTGCAGTGTGTTGGCTCCCTAGGTCTGTGCAGGGCCATATAAAGTGTCTTGGTTTTCTTTCTTTTTTTTTTTCCTTTTTTTTCCTTTCTTTTGTTTTAATGTTTGTACTTCAGACATTCTAGAAGTGCTTAGGTGATACGTTTACCCATCAATTTGCATTGCTGGCTCAAACTCTGAAGTGAACAACTCCTTGTAAAGTGGAGGAAAATGAAGTCGCACAATGTCTGGGTATATTGCTTTAAATGCCATAAGCTTTTCTGTATGTCGTCCACACAGTGCTCTTAAAGTAGACACTTTGCATATTAACTGTAAAAAAATGAACACAAGTCATATGGTCATACATGGAACCAGGCCTCCCAATCTTGCTGTAAGGATTAAAGCTCTCCCAAACCAAATTATTAACTGAACAAGGACATTTCAGATGTACAGTCATGTATATTTGCTAGAAGTATTTAAGTAATGGACTCATAGCTATTTTTGAAATAATCTTTTTTAAGGTCTTAGGAAATGTGGCATTAGGTTTCCTTGCTGGATTGAAAAACAAGTATTTCAGGGCTGGATCTTCACTCATTAAATTATCCTCTTGAAAGAAGGCAATCCCAGCTGCTTTTCAACCCTCAGTGAATATTATGGAGGGAACTGGCAATGCAATAGATTAGACTTTTTTACCTTCATTCAAATAAGGTAAAAAATATGTACTTCAAAAGTATCATGAGGGTACTCCCTGAAGTTATTGAGTAAAGTATTTTTATCAACACATAGGGAAGACTCTTTCTTCTGACAAAGGTATCCAAAGTATACACTCAGAGAAAATTACATGAGCTAGGATTTGAAATTAAGAAAATCTGCATAGCCCGGGCTGGACCATCCTACTTTCTATTGCAAGTAATTCTGTGTTGTGAAACGAAGCATAAGCTCTGGCTGTGCAGAAGTGTAAAAGGAACTGTCTCTGCAAGCTAAAA